CAACTAAATCCCAAAACACTTCACTGGAGGAGGAGGCTCTTGCTCCTAAAATGCAACATTTTCTGACATTCCAAAACACTGTTTGCTTGAAGACTTGGCTCTGTGATCAATACAGATCTAAACTGGATGGTGGTCAAACACACTTACTGTATACATGCATGTTCCTACTTTAGCAGTGTTTAAGCACACAGTTTAATTCTTGCTTCCCTTTCCTGATGGTGTTAAATAGTCAATACTTTGGCACAGAAAACAATGAGGTTTCTTTCCAACCCTCTCTCTCTCTCTCCCGTGCTCCTAGCCTGTTTGTATATACTATCAGGGAAAAAAATGTCTACTCAATTCTCATCAGACCTATAATCAATATGTTTTAAAGCTCCCTCCATTCTAACAATACATTACTAATAAGATATTGAATATTTATTTCAAATGAACTCGGCTGGGTTAGAGCTCGACCTCCCCCATTCGATGATTAAAATTTCATCTGCTGTAAAAACATTAAACATTTCAGGCAAGGGGCATTCCCCTATGCTATGAGAAAAATAATCAGAATTATGTAACAATTCCCTTCCTGAATGCAAAGATAGGAATCTCCTGGCACTCTGCTTATTAACAGCAATCAGTAAAGACCATTACTGTTTTTTTTTTCATTTTATATGCATGGAGTCCATGTCACCAGGATCTGAACATATACTTTAGCTAAGCTTTATATCGGCACATGCTCACTACTGATAGCCAGGCAGCAGCTGATGGCAGAACTCCTGTCAATATCAGAAAAAATGTTATTGATTTCCTATTTCAAGATGAGTGCCACCTCAAAGAGCTAAGGGGGATAACTTGCATAATCTTACATCTATCTTTTACTTGAATACCTTCATGAAATATAAATGCATTTCAATCTACATTAGATGAATTTTTAATTGGATAAAATATAGGATTTTTTTTTATTTTATGAAATGATGATTGTATTTTTATTTTAAAGATTTAATTCAGTATATTCCATCAATAAAACAATTTGAAATTTTCCTAATAAAGTTAAATGATTTTATATACATTTTAGTGCTGGGCTAAAAATCCTGTTGATCTATGAAATATTACCAAAGTGTGAATCTATTTTGTTAATTTTGTTCTTTTTAACTTTGAAATAAATGACTGCTTTGCTTATGAACAATCCTATATTCTGTTTTGGTTGAAAGTAGCTAGAGAGGAAAATCTATAAAAGTACTTTACAGAAGAAGTAAATAAAAAATGTTTTACAGACATCTACAAAAAATACGTATGTCCGACTCAAAATGATCAATAAAAAATAACTTGTGCCCTTGGCTCAGAAATGTGAAAAACAATTTATTACACTGTACCAATATTAAAATATGGCATAAAAAAATAGATTACTTAGTTGTGTACAACAAAACAGAGCTTCATCTAAATGAAGCATGAAGCAAGTATTTACAGAATTCACGACTATATGGTAAGCCAGACATTAGACAGATTCCATTATCAACATTGTATGCTTCTGATGATAAAATAACCTGTTTTTACAATGGTCTGGTGCAATCCAGTCGCATAACAAGCACGTAAATAAACTGAAGCGCCCCAAGGGTCAATTTTGTTGGCTGCATTTTTAACTAACCAACAATCACATTAAATCAACATAATATTCTCTTGTAAATAAGAGGAAAACAGGTCTGATGTTTTGTAGTGATTGAATTCATTATGTACTGCTCATATTAAGTGGTTTATGGACAAGGTGTTCAATAGTCAAATTAATAATTCATAAAAATTCAGAGAAAAGGCTGATCTGATTTTTTAATTTCTTTCAAAAGATAAAACAATGTTGCCCAATACTTGAAGCATTTAAAAGCCAGAAGTCTCCGATGAGACAATAGCTCTACTGGTTTTTATGTATAAATGTTTAATTTTTGAAGTCTGCATATTTCCAACAAAAAAATTTCTCAGTGCAACAAATAACTTCCCCCCGAAAAAATATGTTTCCTATAGACTCACATTAAAAGTGATTATAATCCAAAATCCAATACAAATACAGAGAGATGTAGGAAGATTATTCTATAAATTCTAGGAAGAAAAGATCTACTCGGTTATAGCGAAGTCTAGGGACCTGCAAATTTAATTCGCTATATTTATATCCGTATATTCGCAAAATGTATATAGCGAATTCGCAATATGCACGTCTTCCTTCAAGTATTACAACCGGATATGGTATGGAAGCAATTTTTACAGAACATACCTTAGCTAACTGAGGTTTTCATAATAAAAAATTTGCAAATACTTAGTGAAACAATATAACTTTTAAATTTTTGAAAATTCGTTATAGAAAATAAATTTTATAAATTTTTTCCTAGACTCAAAATCAGTTTGCTATATCCGTAAATTAAAAGTGATTATTTTACAAAAAGAATTTTAACAAATACAGAGATATGGGAAGATGTTTTCCTCATTAAACAGTTCCATTTTCAAGAGGCTTATACGAGAGGTGATCAAAAGTTTGCAAACTAATTGAATAATTTCAAAACAAGAAATGTTATTGGGTTTTAGTGACGCCACCTGCAACTATCCTCATGTGCAAACAGTTCCAATTTTAAGAGGCTAATATTTCCTTTATATTTTTACCTTTGACGCATAATGATTGAATAAATCCCACTTCTCTGATTGATTGAGATCCAATGGCATTAGAAAAAATAATATCTGATATGTTCATTGTTCAACACCATGAGACCTTCCGGGTGAATATAAATATTTAATTTTCCATATTGGACTAAAAATGGATTGGGGTAGAAATTTAAGTTTGTGAATCAGTGATATAGAAGTTTTTAGAAATAAAAGTTATTTCACTCAAGAATGCATTCATGACTTCCACTCAGGTGAACATCACATTCAGGAACGTAGCTAGAAATATAAGGATTTGTTCATCATATTTATATGGAAACATCCCCAAAAAAAAAAAATTTACAAAGTTTTACATAGAAATATATGCTCAAAATGTCAAAGCCATATTTCATCATATTTATATGCATTCTTTGATTTTAAATTATATAATAAAACAATTACTGTGGAATCATTTTAATTTGTAAGGATGAATGTTCATGAAATTTTGTTAGTTGGTGGAGCATAATATGTTTTTCCTTCCTTTTTTAATATTTATTTTTAATTCAATTCCTTTAAAAGCATTCTACAATAAAACTGGCAAGTCCTTTGCCTTGAAGATTTACAAATTATCATATACTACTGCAAAGAAATTTAAAGATAATCGAACAACTTCACAGCCGTTGTGTTCGGGTACGACTGAGTATGGGTGGGACGATATACCGATACACTGATACATACCGATATTTTCTTCAACGATATGGTTTACTATACGTGCTGTAACAAGTCGAGCGGACCCTTGTCACAAAATAAAAACTCCATTGTCAGGCATAACAAGTTTTTATTGAGGATGGCAACAATCAATGAACAACATCATTACTGAGATGGACTTAGACAATCAATTTTTTCTGCTTTATAAATTTACTAGTATCTGCAAACAACCTTAGCTCTCGAACTCAAAAAAAAGTTTCATAATATGAATTCAATTAGTCTGAGCAATCAACTTTATTTCCTAACTTACAAAGACACTATGCGAACCCCTGACTAAAATGACTTTATTTTCAGGGTAAGCAAATGAACAAAATATAACAATTTGTGAACTTAACTGTATGAGGCATCCTCCGAACAAACGATCCGGACAACTATCAAAATATAATTCTGTCATAAACTATAACCAATTAATCATGGAAACAACTATAGAAAGTTTTAGTCCTAATTAATAACTCGAACTGTAAACAAACAAATTATACATGTATACATAGGAAAAAAATATTTTTAATGATATACGAGGATGTTTTCACTATCAATAACAAGCACAACACTTTCAAATTATCCCCCAACCCTAGGGAATTAAAACCCTAAATAAACAAAATCTTAATGGAGGGATTACTTTAATTACATGGACACTAAAATGTTTAGTTTAATAAATGAAATTATCCCAACAGTGTTATAAAAATAGTTTGATATCTAGGAGTAAAGAAGAAGATTTTTGAAATGTGCAATAATTTTTTTATTACAATGTTTAAAAATTGTACCCATGGTTGAATTGAGAAATCAGGCAGGAGGCCAGGTGACAAGATGAGTAGTGAAGCGGTCAATAAGAGACCATTAAAGTCACGGTAAAATCTATTCTCTCTAGATGTAAGTAAAAGAATAGATGCTATATATGTTTATGAAAATGTGAAATGTTCAAAAGTTTACAAGTAATGGACAACACACATAATACAACAAAATCTGGACATAATAAACAGCTTAATTAATAACTTTAAAGTCATGTACTATGATTATAGTGATTCAAAATAAATTAATTGTAAACAATACAAGAGTAAGCACATGAACAGCTGATGAGTACATATTAGTGCATTAAAATATTGGAACGAAACAATATACGAACGACCTACCAAAAAATTGAAAGTGAAAGTAGCTGTCGTAGGAAAATGGTGGCTTGCACGAAACGAAGAGATGATATTGATATTGAAAACACGCTTTAGAACTAATAAGTCATAGATAAGGGGTAAATCATATTCACTTTTAAGCATCCTCGGAAAATGGGACAAGAAAAGTTCAGTATGTAAAGCATGTTATACACTCATCTGATGTGTTATCAAAAATGTGATTTTTTCATAACAAAGGCATTAAATTTAATTGCTTGATAAAATAGCAGATCCTAAATAATGTGTCTAGAATATAGTGAAAGGTCAGTTAATTGACAATTTGTCCCCAAAAGGGCAAAAAATTTAATTTTGTTGATAATTATATTAACAACGAATATTAAATACAAATAGCAATAGCTTACACATAAAATTTTTTCTGCTGAATGATTGATAACAGCAACTTACATGCACTAACAAACTTGTCCTGATAAAGACAATAGGAGCATGAATATAGAACTACAGACTGACCTTGCTGCGATTCCTCCCGGCTGGATATCCTGAACAAAGATCCCTGTCTCTTCGTTATTCTCTCCCTTGAGTCCCACTACACTGAAGCCCAGGCTGGTGTTCTCTGGTTTGAACAGTTTAATGGTTTCTATCTCCCTCCCCTTGGCTACCCGCTCTATGGTCTTCTGAAACTCGGCATCGTACCCCGGCGTTGTAGCAATGGCCCCCAAATTCTCCTCACTTGAGAATCCCGCGGCACTCTCTGATAAAGCTTGATTGATTGGTACACCATCTGGTGGCATGTTCAGAATCAACTGTCCAGAGTAAGTGATCTCAAAATTTTCATCTGTAACTGGGTATGTCTGGGCCACCTAAAATATTACATGGTATGAATGTCATTATTTTTTGTTCTGAAGAAATATTTGCATGTATTTCAGATCTTTGAACAAATAAAAGTACCATAACAGTAAATAGTACAATTAATAGTACAATAAAATACATTACATATATGATTAAAACCTCATTCATGTTGGAAACCTTCAACTGTAAATAAACCATGTAATCCAACACACAAGTAAGGGTACCAACCACTAAATCATAATAATACCTAAAATACACTTAATTGGAATCAGAAGTTTACCTGCTGCATTTGCTTATAACATCCATATTTATGATATTGATTTCTGAACATAAAAACAATTTCAGAATTTTAGAAAATTTAATCTTTTTCTCTTCCAATCAAATATAACTTAATCTTTTGAGACCTCTGCTCTACTGATTCTACTCATACATTTACCATTACACAGCAAATCTGTTAGAGAATAGAGCACTCAAACTTCAGACACTGACAAAGAAAGAGAGATAAACCTTAACTCCAAATATACCGTAGCTGATAGATACAGAAGAATACATTTGAACAGCATTATCTCAATTACCAATTTCTCAAATACCAGAAATATGTCAAAGAGAGTTGACAATGCTTATAATTTTTTTCTCTTAATTTCTTATCCCTAGTTATCTTAGAATTAGATCCTTGGATATCTCAAAATATAACCTTGGTCACAATGCAGTTCAAAATAAAGCAGTTAGACTGTGCATAATTTTTGCATTCATACCTGTTTAAGTTCCTGTAAAGACTCTTGCAGATTAAGAATCTGTCGAAATAGAGGACTCTCCATCATGGCTAACAGGGACGTCATGTCATCATCCAAACTGTGATCCCCCTGGTCCCAGAGGCGGGCCTGCAGGTGCTCCACATACTCCACCGCCTGCTCTGTACCTATATAATTTTAGGTACAGATATATACATGACACATTATGCTACACATAAAATTACAAATGCCCATCACTTATGACTCTCTACCTAAAATTACATAATTCCAAAACTATATTAAAATTACAAACCTAATCTTTGTTCTTTACACAGTTTATTATAATATAATCTGCCACTTAAATTTTCTGTCACCTAAATTTTATTTACTTACTTTCAATGAGCGACATTTCTTCTGCTCAGCTATTTGATGATGATTTGATAGTCTGTAAAACAAGAAGTGTAAAATAAAAGTTTTGATTAATTATCTGGTGACCTATGATATAACACACTTTCATTAAGCATTTTCTTGCAGTATGTTTACCAGGGGTATATTGTGCATATTACAGGAATCAGATGTATAGCAATATACAAATTTATCGTCCCCCTCAACAGCAAACTATTTCCCTCGGCAGCACCTCAGGAAATAGTTTGCCTTCTTTGGGGACGATAAACTTGCTATTGTCCTCATAGCCAGTAAATAGGTGACTGTATACTATCTATAATGCCTACCAAACAAGGTTAACTGTACAAAAAAAAAATGCAAATCTTTTTTCGACATAGTAGAATAGTGCAAAATAGTGAGCGCAGCGAGTGTCGCAAACCCTGGGTGAAGAGAAAATTCAGACTACTGCACATTCATTAGATAGAATTTTTTCCACAGTAATTTGGAACCACAATGCAGCGCTTCATACACAAAAGCTAAAGCAACATTCTCGCGAGAATAACAACAAAAGTTAAATGAACAATAAACTTGCCTTGATTTTAATGAATTTATTGCAGAAAAATAGTCAATAAAAGGGTTCTTCATTAAAATCAGCCCGTTCAGGCTTCAGTTTGGTAAAGCAACATGCATAATTGCATATGACATCAGAGTCTTATACGCACCAAATGTCACATGCAGTTTAAGTGAACCGTTTGACGAGCCCGATCCAAATGAAAACTGGATAAGTATCTGCACTCGCCCTAATGGTTGCACCATCAACATATTAATAGATTCAAATGTAAGAAGCCCAATGTAGTGCTAATCTTGCTGCATATCCTGTACATATGAGTACAGCATCTGAGATCACTCAAAATAATGACTAAGGTAGGGATCTTTGTGTCACAAACGTAAGTATATGGTTATTTGACATGAACAAATATGAAAAATGCTATAATCAACATTTTTATGGCATCTATTCTTACATGCGTAGCATTAAGACATGCCAAGGGAAAGACCCCGCCCAGTTAAAAACACCAAGGGTGGGGAAATGAAAATAGCTGAATAGGGAGTTTACATTTGGCATGGTTCGTTATTTATGACCACACATGTATAGTATCGTCGTAATAATAATTGCAAATAGAAAGGTAACAATCTCAGTAATTATTTATACATCAATTACTTCTACATACCATCAATGATCAAAAATATTTCGAAAAATATAAAATTCCTCGGGGGACATCTAATAGCGGAAGTTGTCAAATTTGCAGATGGTAAATATGGGAAATATTTGTGCCGAATCCGTGGATCAAGTTTAGAAAAATTGTGGATCTAATTTATATTGGGTCGTCATTATTTTTGTAGGATTATATTCAATTATTCAATGTTTTTAAGATTATTTTAAAATAATAATTATTTATCATTTAATGTTAATATTTTTTCCAATAAATAATTGCATTCCTACCATACACAATGCATAAGTAAAGCACAAAACTGGTCAAGAATCGATCCGGATTGGACCTTGGTCTATTCTCTTTAGAGAAGTGGACACTGGACAGGCTTTCGCCTACAGGAGCTTGTTGGTTTTTCCTGGGTTTGTTAATTTTTTTGGAAAAATTCACGTTTATTACAAATCAATCTCAGTGTTTCTATATATATAATTTGCTACCACAGGCATGTCTAAGTGAAAAGGTTTGTGTGTGTGTGTTGGAGCATCTGACAGAAATGAGGTGTTGGGGGGGGGGGGTATTTATTTTAAATGACACATTAACTTCTCAGTAGAGAATACTGATAGAAGTTGACACTTTGATCTTTATAATGTTTAAAGGGGCTGGCATAGGGTTTAATAAATTAAAGGAATCTAGAGATTTTATTATATTGTGGCGGTTAGCCGAATTGAATTACCGGTCATTATTTTTCGGAAGTATCATACCGGAGTTTCAGGGGACTCGGGTTTGAATCCCAGTCTGGTCTACTGCATTTTCTCCTCTCCTGTTACATTTGGTGCAATGACATACCCTGGATTTGACAGGTGAGAGGCCTGCCAGGGATGAGCCTGGGTTGGGATCTTTGGAGGGCCAAAGACCTTTAAGGAGGGAGGAATGTGACGGTCAGCCAAGTTCGATCACGGGTGGTCAGATAGTTTAGTTGGTAGAGCACCTGACCGGAGTTTCAGGGGGCCTGGTTTCGAATCCCGGTCTGGTCCGCTGCATTTTCTCCTCTCCTGTTACATTTGGTGCAATGCCATACCCTGGATTTGACAGGTTGGGATCTTTGGAGGTCCAAAGACCTTTAAGGAGGGAGGAATATGGCGGTCAGACGAGTTCAATCGCCGGTGGCCAGATAGCTCAGTCGGTAGATCACCTGACCGGAGTTTCAGGGGGCCCAGGTGGGGAATCCCAGTCTGGTCTGCTGCATTTTCTCCTCTCCCATTACAATATAAAGAAAATTAGATGAACAAATAGCCACATATTATATGCCTATTATCTGAACATTTACACTGCTAAATCGCTGCATTTCATACTTTTGGTTAAAAAAGTGTTGCATGGTATGATTAGGCACACATACCACAAAGATAAAGTTCTAGGGGACAATAAATGCTTACAGTATATGAATATGAAATAACTGATGGACAGGGTTGCTCACTCCTCCATGGTACCTGATCCCACCTCTGATGTTTTTAGAAGTCTGCAGTGTTTTTTTTCTGCTCCTAATTATATTTTTTCAATAGGCTTTTTGGCATGGTTAAATTTCTATTTGTTATTTTTATATTTCACATATAGCAAAAAAGACTTTCTTATTTAAGTTTTGTAATACACTCACAAGAGCTACAAGATTAATTCAGTCATGTAATACGTAAAGTCAATTTGTGTGCATGCATCCTCATGCAATGAATTTCCAAGTTTGATGAACCCTATAACAAAGTGAAGCAACAAAAGAGGTTCAAAGTTTTACAAACTTAAACAGGCATTGTGTGTACATACCATCCTTAGACTTATAACCATGGTGATTCATGTGCATTTTTAGGTCACCTGAGTAAACTCAGGTGAACTATTGCTATCCCTTTTTGTCCGTCGTCATCCGTCGTTCCGTCGGTCGTAAAGTTTTGAACATTTTTAGCTTTTTTCTCTGGAACCACTGAACCAATTTCAACCAAATTTGGTATGCAGCATCTATGGGTGAAGGGGAACAAAAATTGTGAATTTTATTGTCCCCTTCCCCCAGGGGCTTGAGGGGTGGGGCCAAAATCACTAAAATTAATGCAAACTTTAATTTTTTTCTTCTTTACTCCTGGACATCAAGCAGTCAAACTGTTGGTATGAATGTAATGAACATTGAGTTCTCTACCAAAATTGTGAAATCCATGGCCCCAGGATCGGGGTTCTAGTGCTAGGGCGGGGCTATATAGATTACATAGTGAAAATGCATTATTTCTTTGAAAATCTTCTTCTTTGCTCCTGGATATTAAATAAACTAATTAAGTACATAGTTATGATTAGCAAGAGTGCTTCTTCCAAATTTGTGAATTTTATGGCCCCAGGGTGAGAGGTTCTGGTGTTAGGGCGGGGCTCTATTGATTACATAGTGAAAATAACATTAATTCTTTGAAAACCTTCTTCTCTGCTCCTGGGTATTAATAATCTAACTAAGTATACAGTTATGATGAGCAAGAGTGCTTCTTCCAAAATTGTGAATTTTATGGCCCCAGGGTTAGGGGTTCTGGTGTTAGGGGGCTCTATTGATTATATAGTGAAAATGCATTAATATTCATGAAAATCATTCTGCTTCTGGGTTTAAATAAACATAAACATAGTTATGACAGCAAGAATGCCTCTTTTAGAATTGTGAATTTGATGGCCCCAGGGTCAGGGGTTCTGGTGTTAGGGTGGGGCTCTGTTGAATATATAGTCAAAATGCATTAATTCTTTGAAAATCTTCTTCTCTGCTCCTGGGTATTAAATAAACTAACTTAGTATATAGTTATAATGAGCAACTATAGGCACTCAATCAAGATTTGTAAATAAAATGGCCCTGTGTCAGGGGTTTTGCCTTTGGTTAAGGGCCGGGGGGGGGGGAAAATAAACTATTATATAGTAAAAATACATTAAATTCTTTGAAAATCTTTTCCTTAGCTCCAGGGTGTTATGCCAATGATCTAAGTATATATATTTATGATGAAAAAAGGTGCATCTAGCAAAATGGTTAATTTCATGCCCCCTGGGTCAGGGGTATCGGGGGAGGAGGGGGTTACATAGTCTGAAAATAAATTAATGCTTTTAAATCTGCTCTTTGGTTTTAATCAACCATTTTTGATGAAATAAAAGGACAAGTGCACTTAAGCAATACTTAATGGGCCCTTTTTATGTGCCATTTTACTTTAGAATATAATTATAACCAAATCGTTCTCTTTTGGTAATAGTTAGATACTAAATGCATGTCCCCTGCATCACTTAAGTCACATGGAATGAAAAAGAATATTTTTAAATGCCATGGATACCCTAAATCCGGAAAAGTCGTACTGGGGAACCTTCATTTAGTTTCATTTATGCAATGTCCATGAATAGATATTTAAATCAATACTTGAACAATCTGAATGAAATTTGATGAAACTTTCACAAAATCTTTATAACATATTGCCATTTGTGCACTGTCCTATTGATTACTTTTTGCATTTGAAGAATTACAATAATAAATATAGTTTCATGAATTTTCCCACACAAAAAATGGAACTCCTTTATACCTGTTTCATCTTGCATGAGGGTTAAAAATGTTTGAGTGAGCTCTCCTGCTCTTAAAAACAAGTACATACAAATAATTTAAACATTAATTTACACTGAAACAAAAATCACTATTTTTTTCATAGCATTTTTGAATGTTTAAAAAATTGTTTCAGTATTTTAAATAATTTATTCATTCCAACGTGGGTTCAACATGGGTCATACAGGTAAATAGCTCTCACTTGCCATAGGAAAAACATTGTACTTTTAATTAGATTTTTAATATTTTAAAGAGACATGCACACATACTTTCACACAAAATAAATGTTTTTGCGTCTTTTGACATTTGCACAAGTTTGCACAACAGGACATAGTTAACAAAAGCTTTGAAAAATGACCATTGGGCAGGGTTACTACTAGAAAATCACAAATGGTACCTGATCCCACATTGTATGATTTGTTCTTTGTATATTCGTGCAGTGTAAAATTTGCTGTTTTGGTTTGAATCAATTAATGATTTGAGATGAAAAATTTTGCTTAATTTGATTGTTTAGTTTTATCACATTTTACCGGAGCTGAAAGATTGATTCGTTCTTTATGATAAAAAAGTCAAAATTGTGTGCATTAATGGCCTCATGCAATGTTCAAAGTTTTACAAATTAGTTAACATAAAGTTGTTACATGATACTTGTGTGTCCTGGGCCTCTTGTTTTTTTAAATTTTGGATAAGGCCAAATATCTTGCTGTGCCCACCATGCAAAAGTCTGCTTGACAAATGACAAATAATACAAGTTAAAATTTTCAGTTGCAGGACTAGGTTAACCCAGTTTCTTGCCAAAATGACAGAAGACATTTGTCAGACCTCAGAGAAAACCAAATAACTTTCAAGTTTTAAAGAGCAAAGCATTTAGACCCTGGTGAGTTAAAACAAAGCCCCAAAATAATAGTTAAGGTGAAACTTAAAACTTGTTCAAAAAATATAAATTTGTCCTTTTTTGGTAACAGATATGTCAGCAGGATGGTTGATTGCGGTTGCAGCAATGTGGGGGGCCACAAATCCCTTCATCAAGCAGGGAAGCAGTGGCATTGAAAATGTGAAAGAAAATGGCAAAGTGCGACAATTCCTGATGGAGCTCAAATTTCTCATATTCAACTGGAAGGTATATATACCTTTAGTTTGAAATTTATTATCCCATCCCAATCATTATGATAATCTATGACTGCATGCTTTCTGAAAATGGGGCTTTGTACTTCAGGTTATCATTCAATTTTAGTACAAAATTTTATAGGCAAGAATATGCACATTGAATTTGTTAAGTAACTTACTGATTTATTTTACTTGTTGTAGTCAACAAATGTGTGTACTTTTTCCAAGGAAGTATAGTTTGCGATGCTCACCAGGTTTTACTTAATAAATTCATTAGTGCTTAAATTTTATTGAGGAAACAGATTTGCGGAACAAATAATGCAAAATTTCTTGGTGTACTAACATACACCAGAGGCATCTCTGTATTACTGTAGACATACTTTTTTCCACGGGGTCATAATTCCGAGGAATCTCAATTTTTGTTTAATCCGCAAGTAAAATATTACATGGATGTTTTTGACTGTCACTTTATGCCTTAAATTTATATTAAGTACGCTTGGACAAATTTCTGCGGATTATCTGTGACTGCGTACATAGTGTAAATTAATACCACGCGGAAAAAAATACTTCTAATACTTAACTAGTAATTTAATACATTGTAATACACTAGTGACTGCAGTACATGTGTGAGTTTTAATATTACTCTTTCTATTTATGTTCAGTATCTTGTACCATTCCTGATAAATCAAGGTGGTTCTGTGCTGTACTACATTACACTAGCCTCAGCTGGTAAGTTCTCGGCAATTAATTGAAAGGGAGAATACAGATTATTTACACATTACGTCATTCTATGGACCTTTGTAGAAACAATAATTGTAATAGTTTGGTTTCACCCACATAATATTGACCTAACAATTTATTTAAATAAATCCTGGCACATATGTCATTTAGAGATTTATACATAAAAGAGAAAATCAGAAAACTTAAAAATACAGATTTAGGACTCCAAAGTGTGATAATTAAGACTCCAGAGCCCAATGGTCAGGCCAAAGTCCATAGGTCTGCACTGAACCCTGATGGTTTGACACGTAAAGTCTAATGGTGTGGAAAACCAATCAATGTTTATGATGTCATAGTATTTCCCCAAATTGCAAGGCTGCGCCATGCTAAGGTCTGATGACTTCAAGGATCAACATCGAATCATTGTGATGTCATATACATTGATTGTTTCTCTGCACCATTAGACCTTGGGGTGTCACACCGTCACTTCTTAGTGCAGGGTGTCTTGTAAGAATTAAGTTGGTCATACCAACGGACTTAGACTTTGGAGTCACATGTATTATATATCATACCTGTTTTTGTTGTCAAATTGATATCAAAACACATTTCTCATACCCACGCAAAGAATTTTTCACAGATAGCTCTTTTATCAGGGACCTATATGCTGAGTATATAGGTACCTGGTTTTATGAAACAAGTAGAAGACAAGATACTGCCAGGCCTCTTTTTTCTTTAAATTGACAGATTATATAAACACAATTCTGTATGCCTTGATTTTTCAGAACTCTCCCTTGCTGTGCCAATAACCAACTCCCTTACCTTTCTATTTACCATCATATCTGGCCGGTTTCTAGGAGATAAAATTCATCACTGGGGTATGTTTTCTGGCTTTTGCATAATTGGTAGAAAAAAATAGAACATTGAACTGCCAGTATTTTATGAACTTCTCAATATCACCAGTGACCTACTAAGCTCCTAATATTTATTTATCAATACACTGTATATATTTGTCTAAAATGGTACATTGTATGAATTTTAAAATTTTTTAAGGTATTAAATATATATGATATTCATATTCTGCATTATATTTTACAGAAACCTATGTAGGGATGCTACTGGTTTTGGCTGGAGTTGCACTGTGTGTTTCCGACAAAATGTGACAAAAACTCGACAAGTTCATTGACTGTGATACTACAAACTCAAAGATTATAAGTTATGCAGCGTCATAAAATATGATAATGTTTTATTGTTTACATATTACTGGTTTTGTTAGCATGATTACTGGTAGTTAATAAAACATATCAAAATTATAAAAAAAACAGTCTTTTATGTTAAGATTTCCAATAAAATATATATGTACGAGTACCTTTCTAACACATGACATACATGCTTGCTCTCTCTCAGTGAGTCTCTGGCAGAAGAGATGTGTTTATATTCTTAACCTTTTATAGTGGTTAAAACAGGCCCAATTCATGTGAATTTAATAATTGTCTACCATGATTATTTTTTTCTCATGATGTGTCCTATTAGCATTATTATATGAATATTTAATTTTTTTCTGTTCATTCATTAAATTTTTTAATTCTTTGTATCCTTTGAACTTAACCTACTTTTCAAAATAGTTTATAGTGCCTTTACTTTGAAATAATGTTTTATATATATTTGAGAGGAAAGAAGATGGGCGCATTTGGCGTGTGATCTGCAGGAATCATTTGTACGAAACATTTATGGTTTAAATGTCCATGATTTGGTTGGCTGAACATAGCTGGTCATACAAAAATGTCCATAGGTTTTTATTTCACTTAGTTTGACAGACCTTGTGAGAAAGTGACATTTATGTCCGTTTTTCCTAGGGGGTACTATAACATATAGTAATGTTTCACAAAAAATAAACACCTAAAATATTTAAATTTAATGCATAGATGCATGATACAGTGTACGTGTACATTATAGAATAGAAGATTGGAATTGATTTAGCTCGAGAACCAAACTGAACCAAAATTTATCTAATTCAAAATTTTAATACATCGAATACATAAAAGGAAACTAACAAAATAAATGGTTGTTTGCATGAAAAAAAAATTAAGGCCCCATGCCAGGCTCGAACCAAAAACTCCTCGCTTCAAGCGCACTGAACAGGTAGCCCTATCATACTTACCGAGCTATCACAGCTACACGTATACAGATGATTTAGAAAGGACAAAGATTCACATATTTGGATTCTTTGGGGAAAAGCTCATTTTTCGTGGTCTCTAGGTCTTCTCTCCATTTTTTAAAAATGTGTATTCTGAATTAAGATACACACAAATAACGTTTCAAAATCATGGAGAGAAGACCCAGAGATGGACAAATTTTAGAAAAACATATTTTAAAATACCATTTTGTACCAAATGTCTGATCTGGCCAGTTTTCAAGTTATTTTTTTAGCAAATCAAAGCTCAATTTTGGGGAAATATTTTCCTTTCCTGTTGCACAGGAACCTGATGAATAAAAAAATGTTAAAATTTTATGTAACATTTCGATAAAATTTTCAATTATGCTCAGATTCCTTCCGAATGCCAATTAAAAGCGCCCTCGTTCTTTATGCTTCTTAGTCTGTGCACTGTTTGTCACATGATACTAAGAAAAAAGACCTGTTATCGTCTATTTGACCATGACCTTTTCAAACAGTTATTATTAGAATGGTTAAAGCCATATATGGCGTAACTGATCAAAAAATATATTTTTGAAAAATACAAAATTAAGTAAAGAAATATAGTTAAAACTTTTAAATTAAAGCTTTTCATACAATTCTGAACACGTAGAACACCTCGTTTCATCTAATTATACAATTCTATCTTCTCTGTAATGTGTTATTTAAATCTTTTGTATTTTCTTCCGAGTCTGAGAAAATTCCGAGAATCCAAATTAAATTGTGATATCTTTATAACGCAATTGACTTAGATTTTGTAATTTATGGAAAAGTTCTATCTTTATATAAAGTAATGATACAAATAAAGAGGTCTTATAATTTTAGTCTAATTTTCATTGTACATATGCCATATATGGCTTTAATTTATCTAGCTAAAACAAACCAAAATCTAGATTTGTTCTGACCTGTAGATCACAGGGTCTAGGAGGGGGTCCCCCCACCCCCATGATTTAAACTAGCTTAGTAAAAAGATTGTTCCCATGAACGATGGTTCCATGGTGATAGATGGCAACATTCCCTGGAACCACAGGGGTTAATTGGCATACCTTTCAATTTTATTGAATTTTCAGTAAATAAAAAATATATTTGTATGATAATAGAAGGATAGTAGTATTATTTTTTATTTACAAATAGTTTCAGTAAAATTGGTAAGTATGCCAACTCCTATGCTTTTACACACTTGTTCTCACAAGACAGAAATTTCTGCTTTGTTGTACAGGATCATGATTGCGAACATGCTGACATGGTACATTGTACAAATATCTTTATAATCTTTAACGATATCTTATCATTTTATGTTTTACACAAAAACAAAGCATTCATTTCTGATAGTCCTTTCCTTTTTACAGTTCACATTTGGTCAGCATGCTTTCCTCTCATATCCGTACTTTTTTTTTTCCTAGCACCATCAAGAGGGTGGGATACATTTTTAGAGATTCTTTTTGTGTACTTAAGCATTTATGCAATAAAATATTTGCCAACATTTTCTACACAAGTACTGCAAATTTTTTCTCCTTCAGTCAAAAATTACTGCAATCGTCAATACATTCCCCATTCGACTGGAAGGCTATTTGTAATTATTACAAAAAAAACATTATACAAGTTTAAATTCTTTAATTATAAGCTCCTTTCAAAGAAAGAAAAGAAAAATATACAATTAGTCAATTAGCATACATAATGCCAGTAGTTCATTTCCTTTAAACAATTTACATTGGAACTATGAACAAGCACAACAGTTAACACTTGATTTACAATGAAATCGCAAAAAAAAGTAACATTATGGCACAAAGTTTGTAAACGTTTTAGAAATTTAGTCCATTTCTTCCACTGTGGGTCCTCCATCCTGACTAGCACCCCCGGACTGACTCTGACCGCCTCCGTGAAGTTTTGCCATGATTGGAGAACATACTTTCTGCACCTCTTTAAGCTTAAATTCAAACTCATCAGTTTCCGCTAGAGCATTGCTATCCAGCCAAGACAGGGTTTCGCTGCAAATACTGGTGGCTTTCTCTTTATCTTCTGGCGGAAGTTTGTCTCCGTGTTCCTCTGCTGCCTGTTTGACAGAGAAAACATACGACTCCAGCTGATTTCGTGCCGCGATCCTCTGTCGCTGTTTTTCATCTTCGTCTTTATACTTCTCAGCCTCGTTCACCATTCTGTCGATGTCGGCTTTACTGAGGCGTCCTTTGTCATTAGTGATAGTGATTTTGTTGGATTTCCCTGTACTCTTGTCCATGGCCGAGACATTCAAGATTCCGTTTGCATCTAAATTGAACTCGACTTCTATCTGTGGGACACCACGAGGGGCTGGTGGAATTCCATTAAGTTCGAATTTTCCTAGTTTGTTGTTGTCTTTGGTCATGGCCCTCTCACCTTCAAAGACCTGAATGGACACTCCTGGTTGGTTGTCAGCATATGTGGTGAAGGTTTGAGATGCTTTGCAGGGTATTTTTGCATTTCTTTCAATAATTTTGGTCATGACTCCTCCAGCAGTTTCAATGCCCAGAGAAAGTGGAGTGACATCTACCAGTAAAACGTCTTTGATGGCTTCACTTGTGTCTCCCTTTAAAATGGCGGCCTGGATAGCAGCACCATAAGCCACGGCTTCGTCAGGGTTGATGGATTTGTTCAGTTCCTTACCAGCCATGAAATCTTGCAGCAGCTTTTGGATTTTTGGAATTCTTGTTGAGCCGCCAACCAGAACCACTTCATGGATTTTGGATTTATCCAGCTTAGCATCCTTAAGAGCTTTTTCTACAGGTTCCAGTGTTGAACGGAACAGATCTGAACACAGATCCTCAAATCTGGCTCGTGTGATTTTGCTATAAAAGTCAATGCCCTCAAAAAGTGAATCGATCTCAATGTTGGCATCAGAACTGCTTGACAGTGTCCTCTTTGCGCGTTCACAGGCAGATCTAAGTCGTCTCAATGCACGTTGATTGTTGGAAATGTCTTTACCGTACTTGCGCTTGAATTCTTGTACAAAGTGGTTTACCATCCTGTTGTCAAAATCTTCGCCACCAAGATGAGTGTCACCAGCTGTGGAGCGGACCTCAAACATGGAACCTTGGTCTATGGTAAGGATAGATACATCAAATGTTCCTCCACCCAAATCAAATATGAGGACATTCTTCTCATCTTTAAGGTTTTTGTCGAGTCCGTAAGCCAAAGCAGCAGCAGTGGGTTCATTTACAATCCTCAGAACTTTGAGTCCTGCTATCAGTCCAGCATCTTTGGTGGCCTCTCTCTGCGCATTATTGAAGTAAGCTGGGACTGTAATAACAGCGTCTGTCACCTTCTGTCCTAAGTACGCCTCTGCCGTCTCCTTCATTTTGGTCAGCACCATGGAGCTGATTTCCTCTGGTGTAAATCGCTTCGTTTCATGCTTGTATTCTACTTCCAACTTGGGTTTTCCTCCCTCATTGACGACTTTAAATGGCCAGTGTTTCATGTCGGCCTGCACACTCTCATCGTTGAATTTGCGTCCTATCAGCCTTTTGGCGTCGAAAATCGTATTTGAAGAGTTGACTGCTACCTGATTCTTTGCAGCATCTCCGATGAGTCGTTCGGTGTCCGTGAATGCCACATAGCTGGGTGTCGTCCTATTACCTTGATCGTTGGCGATGATTTCAACTTTCCCATGTTGAAAAACACCTACGCAGGAAAATGTTGTTCCCAGATCAATGCCAATTGCTGGAACTGACATGGTTTTCTCTAATCACAAAAGTGAAAGTAGCCCAAGATAATCCCAATTTTACGTTCTACCGTTTTCTCCTCTTCTTGCCAACTGGGATTAAGAACGGTTCCCCTTTGAGTATCCCCAGTCTGAACAGAGAAATGATTGACAAGGCGCATGTCTGCCAATATATACAACTTATCAAAGAAAATTCTCGACATTTCCAGACTCACTGTTCTCGAAATCCCGAAGTTCGAGCCCGATGGCTATATTTAACAAGCGTAACCTCTCGACCCTTTCCGTAAACAATGTTTACTTCATTCACCGAGTTGTAACAAATAGACACTCGGCCGACTCCGTAACACCCAACGTGATCTAACGGAAACAGCCGAAGGTTACATGAACATTTCGAATTTTAACGACAATCTCCGAAAAGAAAGCTTATTTTTAGTTGAAGGACGTTTATAAGAGTTAAGAATTTGCTGGAAAAAAATATCAATGGACCTGGACTATTGCATTGTAGATTGTAGATAAAAACAAGCTGGCTTTTTTTTTTTCTCAAAATTTGATTTGAAAGAATTTGCTGGAAAAAAATATAACAAGCTGTTTTTATTTTTTTGTTGTCAAAATTTGATTTGAAAGAGTTGCTCAATCAACATCATGAGACGTATTACAAAAGTTACATGTATAATTTAATTTAAGGGGATAAGTAAATATTAAAGGCAAAACTCAAATAAACTATATTGCTAGAAGTATGGAGACATATTTTGGGCGCTATAATTTATGTAAACATGCAAGTTACCAATATCTGACTGTAGAGTAGAGAAGTAGAGAATCTAATTTTAATGTTGGTAAACTTACTTGCTCAGTGGCGGATCCAGAAGTTCATGTGGGGGAAGGGGGATCTTGAGGACCAAAAGCCGAAGGGGGAGGGCATGGGAGGGAGTTTCCCCCTCCCATAGGTGGGGGTTGTTTTCAATGGTTCTAAATATGGTGCATTTTCCAGCATTTTTTGGTACTTTTTGTAGCTTTTTTTAAATACCGATCATCACAATTTTTTAAAAATTTAGAAAAATAAAATGTTTTAATTTAATTCAACTTTAACACAAGATTTTAGACTTTGCCTACATTATTCTACCATCAAAAGTAAATGCAAGGACGTCATGCACATGCGCGCACACACAATGCGTTAAACGACAGTATACTTGAGTCTTTTGATGTTCATGCAGAATTAAGAACTTCTAAATGTAAAGACATGTAACATACTGAAGCAGATCTTTTTACCCTTGACCTTGATACTTAGGTCAAGGTCACTAGTAACCTGAATAAAATGTTGATATTAGCTATTTACCAAAATGACCTTGACCTATGAACTTGAAATCGACCTTAACCTTTGACCTTAACCCAAGGGTAGAAAGAACCCCCCCCCCCCCAACACACACACACACACAAAGTAGAGAATCGCTGTAAAGCTCAAATTACACCTCGGACCCACATAACATCTCAAGGAAACTGCAGAAAAGAGCTCGAAGAAAGAGTATTAAATATTTGATGTGAGTTTCCAAAGTATATAGAAATTATTAATCTAATTAATTACAAATCCTGTCGTGTTTGAAATTAAAGTACAGATGAACAAAGTTGGTATATAAGCCTTCTATGTTTACATGTATTTATTCGGATGTCGTTAATAGCTTTCAATTCTACTGATTTGAAACAATATTTTAATACCAAGCATCTTTGTTTATTTAACCTTTGAAATTTAATTGATTTTTTTTAGAATTACGCAATCCCCAGAAATTCAAAATCAATATACATGTACGCTCCTTCGTAAAAAAAAATATCAGGTATTTGCATTCATGAAAAATATATTAAGAAAAAGGTCTTAAAAAATATTGATCACATTAGCTGATACGAATGTCTTTATAAATATCTATTGTAAACCCCAGAAAGTAGCCTCCTATGCATTGGAAAAAATAAATAGTTCCGGTCAAAAACCTTTACATGTATATATTTATTTACATAGTATATAAAATTTACTAGGCACAGGTACCAGAGTTGTCAAAATGACCAGAGAGGAGATATATAAAAAAAAATTCTGAACAGATTAAAGGAAAATCCCTTTTCTATGCATGGAACTAAAATTGACTAAGTTCATTTTGATTGGTTAGCCATCGGCGTGATATCCTTAGTCGACTTTAACAGTGCCTTGTCGTCGGAATAAAACCAACTTTAATTTGAGCCCGAGGTTAAAATCAGTAGAGAATTTAAATGTGAATAGGTATTTCAAAAAATGATATATACTTGAAATGTGGTAACTTTATATCTGTATTTTTTCTATTATTCGCGGGATAGAAAGATGTGTTAATCGCTTAACCAACATGCCATGATCATCTTGCATATGCATGTACATGTACGTGTGCGCCCATGCAAAACGTTAAACGATATATAGTTGATATCATTGTAACTTTTATATCTTTCAATGAAATCCTTAAATACTTAGTATATTTATAAAAGGTCTTACAGGAAAAGCTATGGCACGAAAAGGGACATGGGGAGCGTTTGGGGAACATCTGTAACGGTCCCCGTTACAATTAGCCCTAGTTTGTTTATTGGTATGTAAAAAATCAGGTCCATATAATAAAATCTTGAAAATTTACAACATTTTTACCATGAGGTCATGGGGTTCACGGAGCAATCACTTGACGTAAGGCGGCGTGACAACCAGATTTCAACCGGTTAAGCTTTGTCACAGTTCTATAAATCTTTCATTTCTTCAGATTTTTCTTATCTTTTTTCCACTTTAAAATTGAATATCTATATCAAGACATGTTATTTTTCTTCTATATAATGTCTTTTGTACTAATCCGGATATTACTGAGATCTTAAAAAAAGTCTATGCGGTTAATCGATCAGGTATGGAAATTATGCAAAACCATATAGGCGCAACGCAACGTCCTTGCGATACGTGGGTATTGAAGTATCGATGGAGTTAATCATTCAAAATGTTAATCCTTCCATTCTTATGAAGCTACAACCATTTGAAAACTTGTCCTTTGTAGGTGAAGGAAATTCCCGCAGCATCTCTTGAACATTTTAATCTCTTTTTAGACATTTTCCAGTCTGCATACATAATTTTTACGAAGTGCAGTGCTTCATGACGCTCAATGACGTTCCGATTTTTGGCTTTGTTTTTAAGCGTTGATCAGTTATAAATGGCTATAAAACAGTCATATACGCTCCAGTTTAGTTCAAAATTTCTCCCAGTGACGTTTCATGAATACTTTAGCGGCAGGTAAAATATCATAAAACTCTTTGCGGTACAATTGTGCAATTTTTAATTTTAATAAAGAGTCTTTGTGATGTAAACGTGCCAAAATGTATCATGCTCCGTGAAGCAAGTTTTATCAAAATAAAAAAGCTGTATATTTTTCAATAATCATCGGGGAGCACCAAATTCTTGTATATTTATTGGAAAAAAGGTAAAGATTTTATCTGGAAAGTTTGACCGGTTTCGTGGAAATAGCGCGCTCAAAATAGAACTTGTCCGCGAACTTTTCTAACACCCCTCGTAGGTGCATTTTCATACGTTGCGTTACGCTTTTATGCGCTAAGGCCACGATGGATAAATTTCATGTGATGCGATCTCTGACGATCTGACTACCGTTCGGATAAGATGAATTACGTTCCAACAGGATTATCAAGATTTAGTCGAAAAAAGGACCTCGATCTGTCACAAATATCACGATCCGAGTTCTCGGTCAGAAAGGATCTCCTACGTTTTAATACGTACTCTTACGATATAATACGTTCATCGCGCACTCTTGCGCTAATGTACGATAAAATAACACGTTCATTGCAATGTCTTTCACGATCAGGATCAAGATAGAACACGCTTTGAGCTACGATTGTACCCTGACAGATATATAAAAATCTGGCTATACTGAGTCCATTATATTTTATCTATCAAAAAGTAAACAAAACATAAACATACAATCAATGATAATGTCGGAAGTGGAGGTTGGTGACAACTTCATAAACGTGGTGTTTGTAGTGTAACTATGGTCGTATGTTATTGCTGTCAAAGTAGAGCAAAGACAGTAGTATAACTGTTTTATTTTCTTTTTATTTTTTTCACCGATGTTGCCTCTGATCGAACGGGTTCAGGTTCATCAGAAGATAGGATCTCACCTCTTTCTTTTTTGTACCTGTTTTAGGTCTCAGAGGGATGTTTGTTCTGTCCGAGATCGATCCCGATGATCACGATATGAAAGCCAGATTAGATTCGTTTACTTACGATGCAGCTGAGGCTATTTACGATGTAGGGTGAGTTCACCATGCATCGGACACATACCTTGCTTCGGACAACTTTAGGCAATAAACTCTCTTTCAACTTCAGAGTTCTGTGTATTTATTTGTTTCTGTCATAAAGATGAAGATTTAATTTTTTTAATGATACCGATTGTGTTTATCATGTTGTGATAAAAATACCCCGCAAATGGCCTTGAAAATACGTCATATTTTACATCATCAAAGGGGAATAACCCGAAATTTATGATTTTGCGATTTTTAGAGTTATCGTTCTTTTAAATTCGACTTCCACGGAACGAGTCGGACTTTGGTGAATTTTGTCAAGGATTGGTAATTTTACAGAAATTATAAAGAAATTTCAGTTCAATGTTTGTTTAATTCTTATTAGAGCTGGTTTTTACTAGTATGCTATTTTCACCGTACATCGGACACAAATTAACCATGCATCGGACACTTTTCGATGCAAAGGTAAGTGCTACCATTTTCATACAGAACCCAGCTGACAGCTGTTTTTTGCGGAAAAAGAAAATAAAAAATCTATATTTGCAGTCAAAATACACGTTATCGATATAGGACGTCTGGAATTTTACTCTATTTATTTCTACAAACCAGAGTATGATAAACCACGAGAAAAAGGCGCGAATTACGGCATTATAAGCATTTTAAAGCATTTCTAAGGCAGAGTGAGGTCTCTAGAATTGTTATTCGTTTGTGTAATAATATCGTCTATTAAATTACAGTTGAGGATTATTTCTTAGATAAAAGATGAAAATATATCCATATCAAGGATTTTAAAGCATTGTGATAAAGGTATGATATTTTTCCGGTCTCCATACCGTCTGTCCGATGCATGGTGAACAATGTTCGATCCATGGTGAATTTTCTGTTTTTTCTAAAAACTCGATTTTAGGGGATATTTTCTCAATAAACGGCATATAATTG